CTTAGTGTATATATAGTATATCTTAGTGTATATATAGTATATCTTAGCATATATATAGTATATCTTAGTGTATATATAGTATATCTTATATCCTTATATACTGTTTCTTTTTATACTTTATATTTTTGCTATTTTTGGGTGTAACTGGGACCTTGAGTACATCATTTTGCTCCATCTCATGTACCACATGAATGACAATAAACTTGAACTTTAAAACTTTGTGCTGCAAACCACATATCATGTTTCTACCTCATGTACCACCTACACATGTGCTAATCAACATGTGTATCTAGTCTTGTCTCTTAATTACTTGTTTAGATCAGAATGTTTAGATTAAGTTAGATGTCTTTTTGCATTTATTGTACGTCTGTTTGTATTTATTGTTCCGTTGTGTATCTGCACTGTGTATTGTGTTGTTTTGCACTTTAAGTTCTGCGTTTAATCGCGACCCTGGGGAACACCGTTTCATTTCAGTATGTACTTGTACGTAGCTGAAATGACAATCAAACCTCTCTGACTCTGACATTCACTCTGGCGCTGTTTCTGCTGTTACTTTGACCTGGAGGGTAAACAGGCCTCGTTGTGTCTTCTTACCGGTTGAGTTTTCTCCGGTGCCGGTGGCTGTCATTCGAGCTACGTGGTCTACGCCAATTCTCTCCGCTTCCTCTGTGGCTAAAGTGTACGTCAGCTCAGCAAACAACATGGTAGCCTGAATATTAAACAAACAGCGACGTTTTAAACAATGAACTATGAAAAATAAAATAGGCTACTTTAAAACTGGGCAGGGAATTAGATCTACCTCTCCGCTGATGATGTCAATAACGGATTCATAAACGCTAACAGGAAGCTGGAGGAGAGAAAGACACGGTTTAGAGAAGATGGTTTCAAACCCAGCGGAGTACCGCCGCCTCTTTCTTGCTGTGTCAAACGCAGGTGAACTTACGTCGGTGTGTTTGGTCATTGGGTTGAGCTTCAGGAAGAGGGGGCTCTCGATGATCTCACACACCTGGCAGGAAAAAGAGAAAAGATGGTGAATGAATGTGCACAAAAAGGAACAAACACCAAACGTTATTCCTCTGCCATACAACAACTCAAATCATTTGAAGTTTAACTTTTGAAGTTTTTATTTTATTTTTACCAGCATTTAATAATGCGATGCTGGGTCAGGATAACATTTTTTTCTGTAGTTTTTACAACCTAACTTTTTCTGTACTCTTTGTGCTAATTTAGCCATTCTATCAAAATATTCAGGTCGATCATAAGATGGCTGATGACTTTTTTTTTTCCTTTTCAAAATATTACACTTTATTTACAAAAAATAAAATAAAATCCAGAGAAATACATTGAGACCTTGTCAATTCCTTTAAAAAGAAATTGTTCTCTCTGAAATCTGCTTCAACATACTTACTCTGTCATCTTCTTATACAGATGCTTTAAGCTAGCCTTTTGCTACTTTCAGCTAGTGTTTAGCTTTTTTGAGCTTTTGGTTAGCCTTCTCTACTTTAAGCTTTAAATATTGTTATTTTTAGCTACCATTTTTTACTTATAGATTTTAACTAGTTTTGTTTATTTTAGCTTTAACAACTCAGTTTTAGTTTTTTTCAGTAAAAACATTGAGCACTCAGCACTTTACCACATTTTTGCAGAAAATGCAAATTTTTAGTTTGCTTTGAAATTCATTATTGAAGCTTTTTTTAAATCTTAACCAGAAGTACCAGTGGTAGTAGTTGTTGCCGTAGTGGTTTTATTATTATTAGTAGAAGCAGTATTAGCCGTCTTTATGCGATGGACCAGCTTGGTGTTTGCGCACCTGTTTGTGGATGTGGATATCCGACTGGTCTGGGGGTCCACCTGTGGTATACCAGCCCAAAAACTCCATGTCTTTGAAGACCTGTTTAACTGAGAAACAACAGATAAAAAAAATCCAAGCATCTTTATTATAAATAAATATTATTATTGACTAGCTCCAACACAGTCATCACTTGTTTAGACACAAATCTTCACTTTTTTCAGACTTCAGCCTAGATCCAGTCATGACAAACTTAAACTAATAAAACTAATTATTACAAAAATAAACACCAAATGTCCCACAGTACCGTGCAAAACTCTTCAGCTGCACTTTATTTCTTTAAAGTTGCATGAAAGTTTGAGTTTTTTGTTGACACCTTGTGGATTTGCCTGTCAAGCTGAGCAATTCTTTAAAAAATGCTTACATTGTTCCTCCTTGGTGTAGTAGTACTCCTTGTCAATGTGCACTTTGTCATCTATGGTGTGAGACATGAGTTCGAAGGAGTTCATCACTTCGATGTTTCTACCCTCCTGTTTTCCGATCAGAGCTCCAATCACTGAGCAAAGAAAACACGCAGTTTTCAACAAACATAACTATAACTGCAGCAGTTTTCATTCATTCAACCTTTATTTAAACAGGTAAATCCCATTGAGCCTCGAGGACTCATTTACAAGAAAGACCTGATTTCAACAAAGAATGATGACAACAATGGACAACAGCGACAACAATAGACGGTTATAAAAAGGCATACAGTTTTGTTATTTTTTACAAATAAGATGGCAAAAAGAGCAACAAAACAGCTAGATTCTAAGGCGAATGTAGAAAACTAAAAACAGGAACATGTCTGCATTGGTCCTTGCCATTCTGTGGGCCATTTTTCTTCATCTAGTAACAAAAACTTATTCTCAGCAAACACAAAAAGGGGCACAAAAATATCCATCCATCATCTTTACCCACTTCTTACTTTTCAAGTCACAGGGTCACTGGTGCCCATATCCAGCTGTCACTGTGTGAGAGGCGGAGGACACCCTGGACAAGTCGCAGGGCCACATAGAGACCAACGAGACAAACAACCATTCACTCTCTCATTCACACCTTGGGACAATTTAGAGTTACCAATCAGCCTAACATGCATGTTTTTGGTCTGTGGGAGGAAACCAGAGTACCAGGAGAAAACCCACGCATGCACGGAGAGAACATGCAAACTCCACCCAGAAAGGTCCCCAGCTGGGATTCGAACCGGCGAGCTTCTTGCTGAGAGGCAGCAGTTCTACCAACTGTGCCACCGTGCCGACCCGTGCACAAACACTTGTCAAATATGTTACTTTTAGAAAAACAGACATTTTTACCGTGTAAGCTAAGTTTCTGTGTTGGCATACGTACCCTGCATTGGTCGTCCCTCCTGAGAGCGAATACGTATCCAGTGGTCAGATATGTTGAGAATAACCAGAGGGTGTAAGGCCACAGAAACGCTCCCAGTGACCCCTGAGGCCATGACACTGGGGCTCGCTACACATGGACACACACAAGATGAGCTTTAACTGGACAGCGATTGTTTTATGTTGTCTAGATAAAAGTCCAAACAACTACTGAATGCAAACCAGCAAATAATAAATAAATAAAAAAAAGAAAAAACTACCAAATTACATGTGGTTACATTTTAAATTACTGAAACTCTTTGACGTTGATTAGACAAGATGTGATTTTTTTAAATCCCTAACAATTTACAGGCGTTACGGAGTCCTGCTGGTCAGGAAGAATATTTATAAGAAATGACTTGTACCATCTACAATAATCTTCTTAAACAAAGCTTAGTAGACATCTTAGTGGTGGTAACTAATGGTAATAATGTGGTTTTTATTATGTTCTATTGTTGGTTCTTGTGTGTGTGTGTGATGAATGTAGAGTGTGTCAAAGGAGAATTTCTGCCTGGTAGACAAAGTTTTATCTTATCTTAAAAAATTAATTGGGAAGCCTGAAAAGCAATAGCAATGTTATACAAAAATAGCATTAAAATACCACAAGGACATATACAAACAACTGTGAGGACAGCACTGAAAAAGAAAAATGTAAAATGAAACATGAATGATTAATAACAGTACTTTGTGCTGCTGTTGAGAGGTCGGGCTGCTGGGCTGATAAATAAATTACCTGCAGTCCTTCCTTCACTTTGAGTGGATCAGTTTGTTTAGAGACTTGAGGCAATAAAAGGTTCACAATTCTACAAAGATTTCACATCTAAATACAGTAATGACACAAAACCGGATGTTTCTGTTCATATCATGAACAACATAAAAAGGAGGAAGTTTTGAGCGTAATTTGTTTCATCATGCAAAAAATACAGAGCCGAATTATTTGAAACTTAGTGGAGAAGGTGAGAATGGACAAAGAAATTAAAGCAATTGACTTTTGATATGGGTACACATTATTTTCTTCAAAATTGGATAAAAATAGCATTGATATTCGCTGTGAACAACGTTCAGCGCGTGCCATTCTGGTTTGCTGTGTATTGGTTTTTAAACTAGTGATTCGTAAAGACCACTGAAGTACATAAATTTAGTTATGTTGAGTCAAAATTAAGTAACAAAGCAGAAAAAGAGGCGACTCTAACCTCTAGAGAGAATCTATCTGACTAGTTTCACAGAGCGTTAACCCGCTTATGTCAGCAACCTATAAAACCATAAAGTCTTCACTTACGACTGATCATACCCAAAATATATAAAACACGAGTTAAATCTTTAGATTCGTCCATGCTGATGTAGGACTTAAATGATGGGATAAGAGATAAATACTTGCCTGCCCCATCCACTTCCATTCCTCCACCATTGCTGGTCGCCATCTTGTCCGGTGTTAGGCAACAGCGCCTCCTGGAGTCACAGAATGCGATGATCACATAACCCGATACAACACCCATAAACCGCGCGGGAGTTGGAGGCAGTTCACTCAATAAACGCTAAGCGGCGATAATACGTTTCTTGGTGTGTTTTTAAAAAGCAGCAGAGCTCGGCTGTTGTCATAAATTTGTCAAATGTTCCCGAAGTAAAGGTAACGTCGACCAAGACCGACCTCTGTCAGGGAAAAGGATCATTTTAATTTAGCTTTCAGGCCGAATCTAGGTCATACAGTCAACGAGCAGCTGTTTCCTGGGGGTTGCTGATTGGGACGCAACCTGTGTGCGTCCGAATATTTGTCCGTGTGGAGGATTTTTCAGTTTTATTTACAAAATGGACGAATTTAAAGCCTGTAATCTGGACTTTTTTCCTGAGAACATTTTATTAGATGTTTTATCGTACTTGAGCGTTAGAGAGCTTGTCAAAGTTGGGAGGTAAGTTTTATTTTCATTATTATTTAGTTGTTGGGTTTTTTTGTTGTTGTTGTTTGTTTGCTTTGTCTTAAACGAAACATTGTTAAGATATTTTCATTGGGACTAATCCCATATGAATTAAGTTTTGCTGTTGTTTCCAGAGTGTGTAAGAGGTGGAAACGCCTGGTTAAAGACCAAAGACTGTGGAGAACTGTTGATTTGACATCATGGAAAGGGGTAAGACCACTTTTCATTGTTGTTGTTCCAGTATTTCTGCGTTAATAACTGTTTAGTATATGCAAATAAACACAGATTAATTTTAAAAAACAAGCTTCAGTAGTCTTTAAGTATTTTTTATACTTTATATTTGTTGTGTTCCTGTACTGCTGTTAACAGATTTTTTTCTTAACACATGTATTAATGGACTGTCCACTGTGTGTTAGGTGACGTCTCGCATCCTTTGGGTCCTCTTGCGCCAATACCTAGGTTGCGGACTAAGGAGCCTTCGCTTACGGGGTTTGCTGCTCTCTGCTCGAGGTGGCACCTTTCTCTCCGAGCCTTGGCTCAAGGCATTGTCCACAAAATGTCCACGCCTCAGTAAGCTCTATCTTCTCCATTCAGATTTGAGAAGCTTACCTAGCTGCCAGATCTTGCCTCCATCTTTGAGAGCGCTGGAGCTGTGTAGTTGTGAGCTGCCTCGAGATTTTTTCAGCCAAAGCCTGTCCACTTCATCTGCTCATCCTCATGATGGAGCAGAAGCCACATCAAGTGCTTCACAGAAAGGAAGGGATAAGAAAAGCAAAGGACTTGGCTCGTCTTCAGGAATTGGTATTGAGAAGTTGGTCCTTAACAACGTGCCCTCTTTTACAGACCAGCACCTTCAGAGTCTAACATCATGGGAAAAGCTGAGTCGACTGGAGTTACGCAACACCTTTCGTGTAACAGCTAACGGGCTTCAAAGCTGTGCAGCTAAGGATGACCTCTCAGGCACGAAAGGGCTTTCCAGACTCAAATTTCTTGAAATAGGTATTACAGGACGACAAGGCTACCAGTTACAGATGGCCTGCCTTGGATTGGGGGCAGGGTGGATTGGACTTGAGGAGCTGAGTCTTGGTGGTAAAGAAGTGGGGCCAGGCTTGCTCTGTGCCAGCCGTCTGAAGGACCTGAAACATCTTCGTCTTTGGGGCTGCACGCTCAGCGAGTTGCAGATTGTTCGGAGCTGCAGGATGCTCCGTGGACTTCGCCAGTTGGAGTTTTTAGATGTGATTTTCCAGCCACGACAGATTCCACCCATGGAGGAGGGCCAAGGAGATGGCGATGAACAGCAGGACCAAGAGGAAGGTGCAAGTGCAAATGCTAATGATGAAAATGAGACACAGGATGGGAATGACCCATTTCCAAGTCTACGGCGATCGCTGGCCGTCCTGCTGCCGGCCTGCATTCTGGTTTTCACCAACTGTACTGTTCAGAACAATCCAGACTGAATATGGGCATAAATTCCCTTTATGGGGCAGATGTGGTTCAAAAGTAAGAATTATTGTTTGACTGAAAAGTCAACTCTGCTTATCTAAATCCATATATTGAAGTGTCCTTGAAGAAGAAACCAGATGCAACCGTTGTGTTTACTGTAATTCATGTGTGTATGATAAAGGTTTAATGTGTTTTTAAAGGAAGGCATATTTATAGGACAATATAGATTTTAACTCTTAGTTGTCATTATGAGTAGAACATTCTTAATTAGTGCAGTTCATTTTACAATTTCGCACAAGCTTTTGTGAGTTTATATATTCTAGAAATAATTAAGTTTTATTATGTTGTACAAGCATGTTTCCACGACTTCATGTGGATTATAGCCCACTGCAATCTTATAGATGATGCTTTACCATTTTTCAATACTGGTACTAAATGTTAAAGGTGGCGCAAAAAGAAAACAGAAATTATCTCTTGGTGAGGGTCTAATTAGAACATTAATTATTTAGTTTTTATGACTATTTAAAAAGTCTACTTTTTTATTTTCTTATACAGGAGTACAACTTTCTTATTTTGAGCCATTAAGGAAACCTGTAGGCCAAAATACTTTTTAATCCTTTTAGTCATGTAGAATATAGAAAACTACAAATAAATGGAGAGAATTGTCCTTTTTTTAAAGCAGAACAGTCACATATTTTTGTGTTTACAGATATGCAGGTGTTAGAGTCAAAATGTAAGGCACAGTCCACCTGTTTCCTGTTGTTCAGTTAACACACTAAGAAGGCATACATTTTACATGCAACAGATGCATCATACAAAAATATGTAAGTTATTGTTTTTTTCAAAGCCCGTACGCCTTCACCTTTGCTGATTATGAAAGTTAAGAAATTGGGAAAAATGAAATGAACAGTACTAATGTCTTGTTGGTTTTTTTTTTTTTATTGTCCTGGATTCAATGATTAATTTTGTCCATTTTTTAATAAACATTTTCAAGGACAATTTCCCAGTTTGTCAGTTGTCCTTGCAGTATAAATATAAGGTGTGCAGTTCTATAATTCCATAAAACAAAGAAGCAAACCAGAAAAGCATGTAACAGTCAGAGTCAGAGATTCTGTATTGTCTTCACACCACATGTGGTACACGTGTTGGAACGAAATTATGTACGCAGGGTCCCAGTTACATCCAACAATAAAATGTAAAAGAAAAACAATGATAACATCTAAGATATGAACTAAGAAAAACATCAACTAAAAATACACTAAGCACTAATAACATAAAAATATTACGTCAAACAGCAGCACGAACATGGGCATGAGTGTGTGTGAGCAGATGAGCACGTATGAACACATCAACATGAAAAAGATCAGCAGCATCATGATGTGATTTTTTTTTTCACAGTGATTATTCTGTTTAAAGATTCATGAGTCTAACAGCCTCAGGGTAGAAGCTGTTCCTCAATCTAGTGGTTCTACATTTAATGCTCCTTAACCTCCTTCCTGAGGGGAGCGAGGCAAAGAGTGTGTGTGCTGGGTGAGTGGAGTCTTTCATGATGCAGGTGGCTCTCTTCCTGCATCTGGAGGTGTAGATGTCCGTGATGGTGGGGAGACTGGCTCCAACAGACTTCTGTGCAGACTTTTAATAGTAACTCCAATGCAGTGACTTGTACTTTTTTAAATCATCCCCATCATGTTTTATGTCTGTTTTGTAGCGCAAGACAACGTTGTGAAGCAATTTTATATATATATATATATATATAATTTAAATTTTCATATTTCTAACTTTTGATTTGTTTTAGAAGAAAGTCAGTCCCACGGGGATGTCCAGTCCTGGTCTCTGAGGGACACTGTCCTGTTTAGCGGTTTCTCTGCTCCAACAAAAGTGATTTGAATCGTGTGAGTTTAACAGGCTTTTGCAGAACATAGAGGTAATTCAACTATATTGAATCAGGTGTGTTAGAGCAGGGAAACAACTAAAATGGTTGTTTTTTGTTTTTTTTCATTCAACCTTTATTTAGACAGGTAAATCCCATTGAGCCTCGAGGAGTCATTTATAAGAGAGACCTGATTTCAACAAAGAGTGATGACAACAATAGACAACAGTGACAACAATAAACAGTTATAAAAAGTCATACAGATTTTTTTTTTTATCTACTAATAGATTGTGTTCTTCTTTTTTATACTTGAATACTAGTTCTTTTGTACCTGTTAATATACCCCTGTCAGACAAATGTTTGTATTGATAAAAACGTAATAATAATAAAAAAGGTTCCATGAAGAAGAAGAAAGGGGGGCGGAGTCATTTCTGATTTCAACCAATCATTTACGCTTTCTGGCAGATGCGCTATCCAATAGGAGACTTCCTTCTTCAACTCTGACCAATTGTGATCAGGCACACTGGTTTTTCTGAAAACCGTTGGCGGCCGGAAACAGAAAAACATCGAAAAATACCAAGAAGAACCAGGAACAACTGTTTTTTTCACGTTTCGCAGTTAAAACTTTTTTTTTTTGTCCAACTGAGATGCAGGTATGGTGACATTTTCTTGGAATATGTAACTTCTAAAATCTTTATATAAAATTTTTCATAAGCAGGAAATCATTGTTCCCATTTGATGCTAACTTGAGCTAGTTTGGCAAACGTTAAGTCACTTTTAATTTTGGGGCTTCTTTAGTTTTTCAACGTAACATTAACTGACAGACAACTGCACTCATTTTGATTATGGCAGCTTCGTGTATTTTATGTACCTCATAGGAAAATCTTGCACTGTTTGGCTTTTCACAAGTTCATTAATTTACCTTTTTAATTATTAAAATCATGTGTTTCCTGTTCACCCATCACAGTTTATTAAACAAATTTACTACACTAACATCTTTAACGAAAGAGCACCTTTGCAGTTCGTTCTAATTACTTACCCACTGTCATATTGTTTGTACCTCATCTGTGTTTTATTTACAGGTCTCTTGTAAATAAGTCCTCGTGACCCAATGAGACTAACCTGTATAAATAAATGTAGGCTGTTTTAGCAACAGTATATGCATAAGTGGAAATTATTGTTAAACTTGAGAAAATGCTTTTAAATTAAAAATGACACAAATCTAATCAGACCATAAACCATAGTTATGTATGTCATGCTGTATATAGAGTAGGTTTTGCTTATTAGAGTTAATGTAGTTTGGAAACATTACTCTGATCTATTAAAAACAAATTGGCTCTCCTGTACGTTTGAGTGGTTCTGAGTCTTGTGTGTTGTTTTGCATTACAGAATAAGGAGAATTGTGAGCCCAGTCGTCTCCAAAGACCAGTAAGTATTAAATGGGTTAAAATGGGTTAAACCATAGAAGATTGTCAACATTTATGTGGTACATCTAAAATATAGGAAAGGTAGAATAAATGTGTGAAACTCTTTAAAAAATCTTATTTGATCATGGGTGTTTTCTGTGTAAAATAGAAGTGATTTAGTTAAAGTTTACTATCCATATTTAATTGCTGTATTTGTTTGCTCTGATTTTTAGTTTGCAACTCCAAGCATGATTACAGGACCACAGCGTGTTCTGGTGAAGTCACAAGCTGAGACGAGCAAAAATGTTGTCACAGGTACCAACTTTCTCCTCACATTCTGATCGGAGCTTTAAATTGATGTGTTTGTACTTGGACTGTGTTTGTTAATGTTGTTTTATGACTTAGGTCCAGGAAGAGAATGTGTTGGCTCATCTTCTACTTCTCCACCCAAGTAAGTGTACTAATCAGAATAAGCTGTTTTATCGTTGTACTGAAGTACAGTGAGATAATGCAAATACTGCCAACTATGCTGTTTTTTTATTTTTTATTAACTTAAACTCATTTAATTTCAATGTCAGGAAAAAAATTTCACTTGAAGACTTTGACATTGGTCGGCCGCTTGGAAAGGGGAAGTTTGGCAACGTCTACCTTGCAAAGTTGAAGAAGGTGGAAGCCGTTGTAGCACTGAAGGTGTTGTTTAAGTCACAAATGGAGAAGGAAGGTGTGGAGCATCAACTCAGGAGGGAAATTGAGATTCAATCCCACCTCAGGTTAGTAGCTCGCTTTTTTTCTTCTCATTGTCTAACAAGGTTAAGTCAGGTCCTCTGGACGGATTCTTCTTTGTTGAAACGTTTCGTCTTTTATCCAATAGACTTCTTCAGTCTGAAACACTGCAACAAACAGTCTTCTAAATAGCACCTTCTCATCGTGGTCCAACCAGTTTGCTGCTGACAGCCAGAAATAGTTGTTCACTTGGAAAAGGAGGACCATCAGCCTAACAGATTGTTAGAGCCCTAACAACTGGTTGTTAGTGCCCTGCTGGCGGCTTGCTATTCACAGGGGGCTGAGTGATGCTTGCAGTAACATTACGAGGGTAAGAGGTTGAAAGTTGAACGTGGAGATCCCCACTCCTGTTAAAAATGGATGGGTTCTCCACAAACATGGCTTACCAGAAGCTGTGAAATGATATCCAACAATTTTCAGTCAGGTCATTTGGACAGTTTCTTTTTTTGTGTGTGTGTGTGCTGAAACGTTTTACCTTTCATCCAGAAGGATTCATCAGTCAAGGAAACAACACAAAACTGATTCTTCCCCCAACAGCTTACTCCAAAGTGGAACAAACCAGTTATGCTGATGCTCAAATGGTCTCTTTGGCACGGGACTTCATGTAAAAAGTTGTTTTTCTCTGAAAAAAGAAGCTGAGAATTTTTTTTTTAATTAGTACAAGCGTTGCATGAAAAATGCTATGCTAAAGAGCTCAAACCACACCAAGCGTCCGCCATTGTGAGAACCGAAAAACAAGAAGGAGAGACGGCCATTGTCACGTGAAGGGGCCTCCCTCCCATTTTTCTTAAAGGGATGCTGCTCGCTCCCTCACTATCCACTATGGGGGAGTGGTGGCACAGAAGTTAGAGAAGATGGGCCTGTGGTTGGAAGATCGCCGGTACAACATCAAAAATGTGGGTGGGGCAGGTGAAGCACCCACACTTGCCTCCACCCTCATTCGCCCCACTCTGGACCCATGAGCAAGGCCCTTAACCCCCATCTGCTCCCTAAACAGGTCTTTCTTGAAAATGAGTTCTCGTGGATCAATGAGACTACCTGTATAAATAAAGGCTAAATGGAAAAAAAAAAAAAAATCCATCCTTAGGTTCAAACAGTCTTATACTGTCATCTGGTGGTCAAAAAAGGTACTATACACAAAATAAATTAACCAACATTTCTTAAATTTGCCAATAATGACTAATTATTGTCAAATTTAAAACAATATTATCGTTTATCACAATAATTTCTGAGACAATTAATCGCCCAGGAAAATGTGTTATCGAGACAGGCCTACCCATAACAATAGTGGAAGTGGTGCCTCAAACATAAAATCAACAGTATGATTTACATTTTGTCAATTTTCATTTTTCCATTTCAGGCATCCAAATATCCTGCGCTTCTACAATTATTTCCATGACCAGAAGCGGGTTTTTTTGGTGTTGGAGTATGCCCCGCGTGGAGAAATGTACAAAGAGCTACAAAAATACGGACGGTTTGATGATCAGCGAACTGCAACGGTAGGAGCTGAATCAAATAAATTAATTGTTAGAGGCTGAATTACAAATACACTCTGTATGTGAAACACTGAACCTGATGGTCTCAAGTTGTTTTAATCTGACACATAATTGTATGTTCCCAGTACATGGAGGAGATATCTGATGCTCTCATCTATTGTCATGAGAGAAAAGTCATTCATCGGGACATCAAGCCAGAGAATCTTCTTCTGGGCTTTGCCGGAGAGTTAAAAATCGCTGACTTTGGTTGGTCAGTTCATGCACCCTCTCTAAGGTGAGAAGCCAAGATGTCAAAGCACCGTTGTTAGTTTGTCACCAGCAGTGCTTTAGAAATTAGTTTTTCTGCCTGGAACTGCTCCTGTGTTCTGCTCACCTCCTGTTCCTCTCATCCAGACGCCGTACTATGTGCGGGACACTGGATTACCTTCCTCCAGAGATGATTGAGGGGCACACTCACAGTGAGAAGGTGGACTTGTGGTGCATTGGAGTCCTCTGCTACGAATGTTTAGTCGGCAACCCACCTTTTGAAACTGCCAGTCATGCAGAAACTTACAAAAGGATTAGCAAGGTTTGTTTGTGCCTTTTGTCAGCTAAATCTCATAATTATATAATAAGGCAAAAATCAGAACTGCTGCCCCAAATAATTGTCTGAGATGAGCTTGTCTCATACCTTAACTCATTATAGATAAGGCTAACTTAAATTAATTGGGCTATGCTCCTCGCCCCCCCCCCCCCCCCCCCCCAAATTTCTTGCATCAAAAAATTAATCAAGGTTTTTTCCCCACCCATTCAAATTTTGTTATCAACATCAAGCTTGGAGCACAAACGTAGTTTTTGTCCACTTGGTGGAATGCTTAATGAAGTTTACACCACACAAACCTTAGCTGATCAGATTAACTCAGATTCTATCGCATGCAAATCTTTAACTTTTGATGTAAATTACAGTTTTCATCCACGTCAACATTTAGGATCTCTGCAGTAAGCTCTGTGGGATGCTTTTCTACTTTATGGACTCAATAGCGTTTGAGCCTCTATAGAAAAGCTTTTTAACTCTGTTCTAGTTTTTTTTTTTTTAATAGATCATATATTGTGTCTGAAATAAAGTAAATGATGATGTTTTACATTAAAAGAAAAATCAAACAAGATTTCAGAACCACGCAGAAGTTTAGACATGTACGGTTTCTGTATGCATCTTCTGTATCATGTTTGGATGAAAAGTTTCTTCAAAATCTGGTATTTTGTTTAACTTTTGAAGTCCTTGTACTGATAGTAAATCCCATGTTGCTATTCTCAGGTGGATCTAAAATTCCCACCAGTCGTCTCTGACGGTGCACGGGATCTGATCTCCAAGCTGCTTCGCCACAACCCCAATGACCGTCTCCCTCTTCGGAGTGTCACGGAGCATCCATGGGTGCGGACCAACTCCAACAGAGTTCTTCCTCCAGCCTGTCCCTCTGAGAAGTCCTAAGCTGCATTGGCAATCAAGCATTCATGAAAAATTATTGAAGCAATATCACTGCCAAAAGCTTGAGCACCCATTATTCTGGGCACGTTCTGTTGAGTATTCATTGGGTGGACCATGGATCCAGTTTTTACAGAAGCAGTTTTTTCTTTTTAGGTATGTGAAGATAATTTGTTGTACGTCACAATTTATGACACCAAAAGAAAACTGCAGACTATTTTATTTCATCAGTCGTTTAATTGCACTAACTTGTGTTTGTGTGTGTGTGTGTGTGTGTATATGTGTGTATATGTGTGTATATGTATATATACCGGTATATAAATTGTGTTCTTTGCTTTGATCTTTTTTCCCTAGAGGTTATAATTTTTTCATATTCATAGATCTTTTTAAGACAGGTTTTTCACTAAAAGTACTACTCTAGCAAGTATGTTCTTCAGGTGAAGAGTGTAACTTCAGCTGGAAAATGTGTATTGGCTACTTCAATACTTAACTTTTTAATAAAGGATTCTCACCATGTTGAGCATTTTATTTTTTTGAGAATAAACTGAGGTCTTGACTTTTAACTGCAATCTAAAGTCAAGTGAAATTAATTTATAAAGCGCATTTAAAACGGCAGCTGTTACCAAAGTGCTTAACAATAGGATTGAGGCAGCAAATAAAAATAAGATGTAATTAAAAGCATCAAAAATACAAATGAGAAACAATAGTAACTCAGATCCCACTGTTAAATGTCATTGAATGTAATAATTAAAATCTAAAATGTACGGTTCAAACAGCAGCCTTTAATCTGTTGTGGTAAAACACGACTACCTGTAAATCCAGCCACTTCCAGACCAGCTGTGACACAGCACATGTGGCAGCGCATCCAGACCTTCAACTACAGGACTACACCACCTGTCTGTGACAGTGATGCCTCCCTCCCAAACGTGCTGAACAACTACGCTCTGTTGGAGGTGCAGAACAACACAGTCAGGAAGACCACCTCGCGACGATCACGTACTTCATCTGATAAAAGTGGATGTGAGGAGAACTACGCAGAGTCAAGCTACCGGACCAGACAACATTCCTAGCAGAATACTCAGAGAATGTGTAGACCAGCTGCCAGGTGTTCTCAGACTTCTTCTTGAGCAGCACTGTTGTTCCAATATGCTTTAAGACGACCATCATTCCAGTGCCAAAAGATTTATCAATGTCATGCTTCAACAACTACCGTCCCATAGCACTCCTATCACCAGGAGGTGCTGCGAGAGACTCGTCATGTAGCACATCAAGACCTTGCTGCCTCCCACCATGGACCCACTGCAGTTTGCATAAGTCCTAATCGCTCAACGGACAAAGCCATAGCCAACACACTTTACCTGGCTTCCACACACTTGGACAGAAAAACCATGTTAGGAAGCATTCATAGATTTTAGCTCAGCATTCAACACCATTCCTCAACATCTGATTGGAAAGCTCAGCACACTGGGCCTGACCCCCTCTCTTTACAACTGGATCCTGGACTTCCTTACTGGGAGACCTCAATCTGTCCAGATCAGAAAGAACACCACCACACTGAGCACTGGAGCTCTCCAGGGCTGTGTGCTCAGCCCACTGCTGTTTACTCTGCTTGCTCATGACTGTATAGCAACGCACAGCTCGAATTTTATTGTGAAGTTTGCAGATGACACGACTGTGCTGGAACTTATCAGTAATAAATTCAATTAAATTTATATAGCGCCAAGTCACAACAGAAGTAATGTTGGTGCACTAACGAGTCAGCGTACAGAGAGGAGGTGCAAAGGCTAACGGACTGGTGCAAAGTCAATAAGCTGTCTCTGAATGTTGACAAAACCAAAGAGATCATTGACTTTAGGAAAACACAAAGGGACCACCCCCCACTGAATCGACGGGTCCTCTGTGAATATTGTCAAGAGCACCAAATTCCTTGTTTGTCTGGCGGAGGATCTCACCTGGACCCTTAACACCATCGCCAAGAAAGCTCAGCAATGTCTCTACTTTCTGAGGAGACTGAAGAAAGCTCATCTGCCACCTCCCATCCTCACCACCTTCTAGAGAGGGACCATCAACATCATCCTGTTCAGCTGCATCACTGTTTGGTCTGGAAATTGCACTGCATTGGACTACAACTCTCTCCAAAGAATAGTGAAGACAGCTGAAAAGATCATCGGAGTCTCTCTTCCATCTCTCATGGACATTTTCAACAACCACTGCATCCGGAAAGCCCTCAGCATTGTGGAGGACTCGTCTCACCCATCACATGGATTTTTTATATTCCCCTGTCCTCTGGGAAAAGGTACCCAGTCCACGTATTTGGACTGTCCACTGTGTTAGGTGTCACCTAATGCGAGATCTTGTATCATTTGGGTCCTCCTGAGCCAATACCTAGGTTGTGGACTCGGAGCCTTCGCTTATGCCACTACTAACGCTAGCATCACTATAAATTTTAACTAGTTAAGAGTAGAACATTCTTAATAAGCATATTACAATTTCACACAAGCTTTTGTGAGTTTATATATTCTAAAAATAATTAAGTTTTATTGTGTTATACAGTTTCCACGGATTAATTCGGCATTGAAGACCACTGCAATCTTATTGACGATGCTTTACCATTTTTAAAGATTGGTAATAAATGTTGAATGTGACACGAAAAGAAAACACAGAAATTATCTCTTGGTGAGGTTAGAACATTTAATTATTTAGTTTTTCTTGACTATTTAAAAAGTCTAATTTTTTCTATTTTCTTTATACAGGAATACAACTTTCTTATTTTGAACCATTAAGGAAAAATGTCGACCAAAACACCTTTTAATTCTTTTAGTCATGTAAAGATTACAAATAAATGGTGAAAATGGTCTTTTTTTAAGGCAGAACAGTCACGTGTTTTTGTTATATGCAGGTGTTGGAGTCAAACTTTCCACCTGTTTCCTGTTGTTCAATTGTTAACAATATGCTAAGAAGGCATATATTTTACCCACGTTTAACAGATACATCATACAAAAATATGTAAGTTATTAACAAAGTCCATGCTCAATAATCCATGTATACAATCCAACATTTTTCAGTCAGGTCATCTGATGACCTGACTGAAAAATGTTGGATATGTAAGTTATTGTTTTTCCAATGCCCATATGCCTCCACCTTTGCTGATATGAAAGTTAAGAAATTGTGAAAGAGGAAATGGATGGACTAATGTCCATGTGCTGTCTTAAGACAAATCAGGAAAGGATCTGTTTTTTTATTGTACTTTTTGAAATCATCCCCATTATGTCTATTTTTGTAGCGTAAGACGCCATTGTTAAGCAGTTCAAGGTTAGAAATACAGTTTAAAAAATAAACTTTGATTTTTCATATTTGTTACTTGTCTTTTGTTTTCGAATCAGTTTTTTTCCTACTCACAAAAATGGTCTGTTGTAAAAAAAAAAGAAAAAAAAAGGGGCGGGGTAATTGATGGAAGCAACCAATCATTTACGCCTTCTGGCAGACGCTCTATCCAATGGGAGAGTTTCTTCTTCAACACTCTGACCAATTGTGTTCGCGCACACTGGAATTTTTGAAAACCGTTGGCGGAAACAAAAGATCATCGAAGAAGAACGAAAAGAAGGTTTTTAAGAAGAGAACTTGTCTTTCCACGTTGCGCAGTTAAAACGTGTTTTGTTTTTCTTTTTTTTTTTT